GAATTATATAGAATAAATAATTAGAATAGAAAACTAAAAGATATGTAAATATGAAATGGTTGTTAACGTACAGTATATTTGTTTATTTTTTGTCTTTGTTCTGTTAAATTGGTTCAATTAAAAAATGCCATGCTGGATGTCGCAGTTACGACGCAGAGTTGAAGAGTCCCAATTCTCAGTTTTTTTGCACACGTAACCTGCGCACTTGAACACTATGTGCACTTCAACCAAATCCACACTTCACAGAGGGGCGTAGGGTGCGCACTGAGCATTGGGACTGGGCCTCAGTGTCACCAGCACTATGCTACATTACCTACAGGAAGTCCCGCTGCACTTCACTCTGCTTCTGATTGGTTAAAAGTGAAGCCAATCAGAGTCACAGCTTGGTGTATTACACACAGTCTGATAGGAGGACTGTTACTGTAGGGAAACAGTAAAAATGTTGGTTATTTCAGTTTTTGTCAAACAAGATGTGAATGTTTAAGACCAGAGTGAAAAACTCTCCCCTCCTTCCTCGTCGTCGACTGGCTGTGAATAAAAATCCAAACTTCTGGTGTGACTGCCAAGAAAACAGCTTCAAATAAAACTACAGCATTCCTTTGAAGCAGGGAATAAGGCAAATAATTATTTATTGTAACTGTCAATCAAACACCAGCTTTAAAGAAAGAAAAGTGTTATTAAATATGGATTCAGTTTTGGATCTAGCTTTTTTTTTCTTTTTAATACAATAATAAATGGCATCACGTCGCATATTGTTGCTCATCAGAGGTTGTTTACCTCATTCATCACCTTCAAGCTTTATTTCACTGCAACAGAAAAATACTGACTTTGTAGTGATATTTGTAAGTGGATCAGAACCAAACTGAATAAAAAAAAATCTTTGGATTTTATCTGCAGACCTTCCTGCTCATAAACAGGAGAACAGAAAAGAAAACCCTGCATGAACTGAACYACATCATGACTTTTAACAGAAGCAACACGTTAAACATGAAAMAACTGAGAGGAGCAGAACCAGGAAACTGGACCAGACCTATCTGAGAATAAACCTAACCAACAGGAAGTCAGAGGAGTCATTAAGAAGCTTTAAAATAGTTTTTAAAAAGTGATTGTTCTTATTGTTGTACTGGAAGGAAGGTGGACTCTGGATTTGTTTGAGAACTTTCAGACTAACATCTGTGAGCTGTCCAGAGAGAGAGACTGGTTTTACTGCAGTCATGTTTTTAGCCACAGTTTCAGAACATAAAGGTGACTCTCGRCTGTTGTTTTCAGACATCTCTGCTTCCACAGAAAGAGTCATCTGCTGTTGATTTTCTTTGCTCTCACTACAATCACACACACAAACACGTGTTCTCACGCTCACACGCACTCGTTTAATGCATGTACATGTTTGGATGGAAGAGGTTACAGAGGCAGCAGCTGAACGAGGCTGGGAGCCAGCTGAGAGCCAACAGCCTCGTGAGGAAGACCAGATAGAAGCCATGCATTATTTATTAATCCACAAATCCCTACTCACCCCCCCACCCCCCKCACACACACACACTTGTTCTGCTCCCTTCTTTTTTCCATTCTCTCCTCCTCCTGGATCCCACCCCACCTCCCAACCCCCCTATTGTTGCTTGTTTGAAATCTTCAAGACTTTCCTTTTTATCTTCCTCTTTCTGGTTCTCCTCCTCTTCATCGTTTGCTCACTCTTGGCCAACTGCTTCCCTCCTCTGTGCCTCATCGGTGAGGTTTGATGTCATCGTAGCTCRGGTCTTCTTTCCTCCCGCCATCAATGACACTGAACTGATTTCAACCACATGTACCGGTCCACGTGCCAAGACCTGATGGGCTGTAGATCCAGGACCAAATCCAGCACCGTGGAAACCCTTTAAAAGAGTTTCATTAAACCCTGCTGCACCGTTGAACAACGTGAACATTCCCATGATGCTGCAGTCAACCGGATCACAAATCTGAACAGTTAGCAGCTGAAATATTCTAAAAAGACTTGTTGCAGCAATTTATCTAATACTCTAATTCTCTTCCCACATTTGGTGTTCCCAAGAAAAGCATAAAATTTGCAGCTTATGTCAGAAAAATCATATGATGATCTCTCATGTTGGACAGTGAGCTACCTGTTAGTTTATTATCATGTTGTGTGATTCTATTTAAAGTGGGAAATCCCTCCCCTAAAGTCCAGCAGAATAAGTGTCATGCTTGAGAAGAGGCTGAACAGATCAGAGGGGGATGGTCAAAATCGACCATTCCATTGTTTTAATAATTAAAGAACTATGGTTAAATGTTTAGTCAAGTTCTAAAGTATTTTTATGCACATTTTGAAGTATCGCTTTACAAAATGTTGATGGAAACGGCAACATTTGAAAAAACTTGCTTAATTTCGCAAAAGCGTTTTTACGCTCGCTTGAGGTGTTTTTGGACTTTCCAAAAAAAGGGGAGATGGAAACACATTTGTTGAATAAGTTCAGATGTGGTGAACATTTGCCTCACATGATTGATCAGTTGTTCCGGCCGTCGGCGTCTTCCCAGATATCCCCAATAAGAACTGCATGTTATGTCGACAGCATGTAACATCACCAATTCTAGTTGATGTGACAGAATAATTACAAATTGCCAGAAAGCATCACATTCCTTAAAACTTCCCTCCATTGTCCTGAGATGTATGGTCCCTGCTAGCTTACAGCTTCTACTTCCTGTTTACTACAGCCATGTGTAACATCAATATCTGAAGTAATTACGCTTTGTGTTGCCTGGTTGATTTGCTTCAAACCAGTAGATGAAAACACACAATTCACAATTATATGGAACCATATCTCCACCAGGCTGAGAAAATGTGACTGTTACAGAGGATTTCTGGCTRGATCAAGGGTGTCCAGTTGTCTAACCCTCCCATCTGTCACTGTCCTGGTGACTCTGGTGAGGGACACTGAGATGTATACAGAACTTCTGTCAAGGTAAAATAACCAGTCTTGAGGAAGTCTTTGTAATGGCTCTACAAAAATCTTCAAAAGATCAGGCTGGAAGATCACRGTGTTCACACATTTCAGACACTACGTATCTGACCATTAAACCAAAAACAAAACAGGCTTTGCTGCAGATATGAAGTTAATCTGGCCTCACTAAACCTGYGAGGACAAATCTTCACCTGATTATGAATCGTCGGAAATGTGAATCCAGTTTTTTTGTGAACAGTTTACTTGAGTTGTAACTGCAGACAGTGAGGACGGAGACCCAACGATGGGAACTCTGAGTCATGACGACGTGTTTTAGTGCTCACAGCTGTCGACTCACTGCTGATCTGCAGCTGCAGGAAAACCTAACCCAGCATGTGTTCCAAGTCTGTTTATCATGTTGGTGTTGTGGAGCGGGTTARTGACGTTCTGTGTTGTCTCTCTGTGTTTTCCAGGTGGCTGATGTGKGCAAAAACACCATGAATACAAAGACGCTGACATCCAGAGGATTCCCACTTCTCTTTATTTATTACTTTCAGAATGTGTGGGTGTGTGTGTGTACGGAAGTGAATAAGCATTGGGCATGTGTGCATCCTGAACGGTACCTAAGATTCCAAACTATTATTTACACATTTTGTTTACTTTTTCTAAGGTTCCAATAATAAGTTCTGCTGGTCATTAGAGCAGGAGGACTTTATCGCAAGTAGAGGTCTCTGCAGMGAAGAAGTGCGAGTTTCTTGCGTGTGGGCAAATTTTGGGTAAACTATGATTGGTTGGATGGATTTGTGGGCATGGTTTGTGTAAAACGTGATTAGTTGGTTTTATATGTGGGTGTGGTTCGGGTACACCACGATAGGTTTGATGGACTTGTGGGCGTGGTTTAGGCACACAGCGATAGGTTGAATGGATTTGTGGGTGTGGTTTGGATAAACTTKAATTGGTTGGATGGACTRGTGGGCGTGGTTTGGTGCACTGTGATTGGTTGGATGGACTTGTGGGCGTGGTTTGGGTAAATAGCGATTAATCGGATTAACGTGGGATTGCTAACTTTACAAATATTAGTTTATTTAATCACAACTCAAGACGTGAAGGTTGTAGGTGCATGAAATAAAGGAGGGATGCGTAACAATTAGGTTCAGTCAAACCATCCTAACCTGCCTGGAAAAAYATTAGTTTCAAATATGAATATTAATATAAGTCATAAATTTAGACAGAAACATGCTAGCCGCACCAAATTTGCAATCATGTTCACAATAATTTTACCATTACTAGTACTTTATCTTTTAACTTCCCCCCACAAGTCCATCCAACCAATCACGGTTTACACAAACCACGCCCACATCCCAATCCGACCAATCACAGCTTACCCAACTGGGCACACACCCAAGAAACTCCCACTTATTGACTGCAGAGACCCCCTTCTCCTTTATTGTTGGTTCTATTGTGTTCTGTGTTTGTAACCAGAATCCTATTTAAGAATGTATATTTGTATGTATGATATACTCATCCCAAACTTATATAATGGACACCTCTGTATTGCTTTAGCCAAGACACATTTCGCAACAAACACACACACATACACACACAMACAGTGCAGTTGGATTAAACCCTACAGAAAGGTTTTACATTTTCTTTCATTTCAGCTCAGATTTGTGGAACTGTAGAAACCAGCAGGACAATAAAAAACGTTGATGAGGAGGTTGAGGATGATGATGAGAATGCAGCACATCCTCTGTTGGCCGTATTGGAGGTCCTCTGTCTTTGGTAGCTTTTAAAACCCAGCTGGGGWTTTGTTAGTTGTTTTATTTTTAGGGAACATTTTGAACAACAGTAATATTTTGGTCTTTTTAAAATTTAATGATATGCTAAAGATTAAAACAATTTGATAAACATAATTACGTATAAAAAATAAAATATTCTTAGCAAAAACTGGTTCTTGTTTCAATGTTGAGGTTTAGGCTTCATCCACATGGGAAAGATCAACCAAAAAAAAACATCTTCCTTCTTTCCCTGATTGTCTACATTTGGACGGCACCTAATTATTTTCTAACTTTTGCATAAAATGATCAAAGATGGGTAACAGACACATTTACTGCTGAAGTGGGTTTTGCCTGAACTTTGACCAAAAAAAGGTCATTTCTGTAGAAAACTGCTGCTGATCAGTGGACCTCCATGATGGTACCAGATGTGAATAACATGGATTTTTTTATGTTGTGACTCAAAGCTTTTATAACTGAAACAKTTTCAGCTGAAAATATTGACCGCACATGAAGAAAGCATCTAAATGCAATATTGGATTTGACCACAGCTGTGTCAGCTGTGTGAATTAACAACACGTGGGCAATAGCTCAGAAATTGTGCTTCCATCTAAGAATACGAACTAATGTACATAAAGGTAAACCACCAAGGCAATAGGCTGTGAAGGTCTCTGGATGGTCCTGATGCAGCCCAGGACAACCCACCTTTGTGTCAGACAGGACCAGGATCAACAACGGCAACTATTTGTTCAACTCCTGAGTCAAACATTGTGACCATTTGAGTTTCTTTCTTCTGACAAACAGCTGTAAGGATGAGTGTTTGTGCAGAAGTCTCTGTACGTCCAACATGGACTCTCGGGCAGAGATTTGTTGTCACTGAGCTGTGACTGCTGGAGACCCGCTGGCCAACAGGATCAACTTGTTCAGGTCTAAAAAAAAAAACACACCAATGAGAAATAATAATTATTTTAAAAGCTGGTCCAAAAGAAGCTGGCATGCCCCAACTTGGCCCAGTTGGGGTTTGGTTTATGTGGTGCTGGTCCATGCATGGACCACATCTGGCAAACCACATCTGATCTTTGCAGTATATGGGCCATGTGTCAGTGTGGGCCAGAGCTGGACCAGACAAATTTGGTGGGTGGTCTCAGAGAACTGAGTGAGTCGGCACCTGAGTCATATTGAAGTTGTCAGCTAGTTTCTATCAGTGGGAGCTCAGTGAGACGGGGGCTTCAAAACTCACCATCTGTACAACAGCTGATCATCTGCAAAGTTGCCTGTTTGAACTTTTTGTTGTTTATTTCAATGTTTTGTGTGAAACTATCTAAATATTGCATCATAGATGTATGGTAATAATTGTGAAGTACTATCAATATAATATAATGGCTTCCTCTTTATCATCAGTTTGAAACCAACTGAAACAATAATTAAGGCCTTGCACTGTTGATAAGCCAAACAAAATATAAAGCCACGGAAAAAAAAGGGTACTGTGGACATTTACCTGGTGATTCCTCTGCCTCACCCACACACACACACATTTGTTTTTTCTATCCTCATGGGGACTTTTTAATTGACTTCCATTCATTTACTGGCCATTTCTTTAGCCTAACCCTGACCCACCAATTGTATTTCCCCCAATGGGGACCAGGCTTTTATCCCCATAAGGAACAGTGGGTCCTCACCAGGCTGTGTGTACCGGGAAAATTGTCTAAAATTGTCCCCACAAGGTTGCTAAAACATGTACACACACACACACACACATGTTACATTCACATTGGATGTGCTTTCTTGCCTGCCACAATAAATGTCTCTCCTGTCAGCAGCACTGAAGTATAACCCSTCCATCACTGGATCAAATGGGCTTTTGCTTAATTTTTTTTTTCCCAAAGGTTCTCCTTCATATCAGGCTTTGTGTTTTTTAGGATCTGTTATGTTAAAAGGTCAGGGCATCTCAAAGCTTTTTYTCAACTAATATAAGGCTTCAGCAGTAAAATAAAAAAACGAATCTATACAGCTGAGAATTATATTCTTTAAGGTTAAAACGTAGAAAAGATCAGTCCTTTAAAATGGAACAAAGTGTGATTCAGCTCCTCAGCATCCTGTCGACACATCTTCCAGCTTTGATTTGTATCTGTTGTGTCGTTACTACTGCCTGTCCTGTTGTACAGACGGGATAAACGGTGATAAAACACATTAATAAAACGTTAATGCACTTCAGCTGTTAAACATCAGAGCAGAGGTGATCAGGTGGACAATAAAGTTTTTTTTAAGAATGAATCTTTCCAGATTGTGCGGCTTTCAGCTCAAGTAAGGATCAAAGAAAACAATGTGTTGAGCGAGAAGACGAGGAAACTAGAGACGTTTTTCACAAGTGAGAGGACATTACGATGCATAAAACCAGAACAGCTGATAGAAGGTTTGGTTTTAGGTTGAAGATTTGAATATTAGATTTCACTGATGCAAAAAAAAATCTAAACCCACTAAATAAATATATTTAAAGAGAAGCTCAATGAGGAAAAGCTGAAGATGTGAAGCTTTTTAACGTTTCCTCACAGATCTGTGGCTCTGAGGTATAAATAGATACATTTGGACCTAAACTCAGCCAGCAGCATTTTTAAAAAAAAGCACTTTAAAGAGAAATTAGTTCGCCCTGCATCCCAGCCTGCACGGTCACTTTTCCTCCCTGGCTTTTCTCTAAACGCACCGTCGTTATTGGAGCGTAGCTCGGTCTGACGCAGAGCGAGTCGGCTTCCTTACAAATGGAAATCTCCTCCTCAGATTGGAGCCTTTAGCACAAACCAGGGAGACGTGGTGGAACTGCTGTAGCTGGAGTTATCTGGCGGCTCTGGGTGTCGCCGCAGGCTGTGATTGTGCAGCAGGAGAAAGGCGCTGGGTAATGGCAGCAAAGCAGCYTGACAGAAGAGGGTTAATGCCGTCGAGCTGCGCTGAGATTGCCCAGCCTCGAGTGGCAGGCACTCCGATCAGCTGAATAATTATTGTTGCTGCGTGGCTCCCCGTGTGAGCAGTCGTTCCATGTGGCATCGGGCTCCCTCTCTGCAGTCMGCTGTCAGGCTCGGTTCTGAGGCGTGTGCTCAGACTTCCCATTCTGTTCACGTCCTTCATAGACCTTACYGTATGGAAAGCCGTAAGTGCCACTAAACGGGCATTTTACAAAATGCCTGTTTAGTGGCACTTACGGCTTTCCATATTACAGTCCAGTGAAGTGAGGAGCTCCAACACCGACACAAACCAGGGGAGGTTTAACCACAGAATCAGTGTTTTACTGAGCTGCAACTGTRGCTGTTTAACCAGAGACAAAATCAAGAGAGAAAAACTCAGGTATTCACCTGGAATCAGACTGACTTGGTCCGGATGACGTGTTTGTTTACAAAACGCAACGATGGTGCAAAATTCCTMCAGTTTTGTAGCAACGTATTACAAAGTTTGTCTCGATTTAACCACTTTACTCTCTGTTGTCTCGAATCAYTTTTGTACGACTTTAAGATTCAGACTGTTCTGTTGGATTTTAAACATGTTTAAAACAATGTGAATGGGGGGGTGGGGGTTGCCACAGTCTCAGTTTGGTCCCAAGAACCCTAAAGCTGTTTTTCTTGCATCTGAGACAAATGTCCAGCTCTAAAAACAAACATGAAATATTTGCTCCAAATTCAAGCGACAGGAAACTGTAAACTCTGGTTCAGAGGTGAATGACGATCAGTTTGAGTCCAGTAAAACTGGCTTCAGCGAGTCTGGTTCTATACAGGGTCCCGAATGTCCCCTTAATGCTGTTCAAAGATAAAAGTATAATACATTTATAGAAAAGTATCTATTTTTGGCATGTCAGGTGGTTTGATTGAAGGCTGGCTGCTGGGGCGTCACCGCTGTGCTCAACGGTTCATCTGAGCTTCAAACCGAAGCTCTTTGTTTTAGTTTTTAGGTTGTTGTTTTTTTTTTCTTTTTTTTTTGTACGCTGCACTGAACACAAACATTTTCTTCACAAGTAAACAAACAGAAGTGTCTGCAGTCARTTCGTCCAGTGAAATAATAAACTAGTATCCTGTAGAATAGCTGTTGCATTATTTGTATGTAATGTTATTATGGAAGATGTAATGTCCTTCTGTAAATGTTTCTTGTTGTTTTAACTGAAATAAAAAAATTTATTATTGCCTCACATCTACGAGGAATTCTTTTTATTCTGCTTCACATGAAGCCCACCTCCCTCTGGACCACCCACACAATTAGGATTTAAGTCCTGAATCCCACTTTTGAAGTAACATAGCCTAAATAATAGTWAATATTCACTAATCACAATTTTCTGACAAGACATGAAGGTAGTGTCAGTGGTTCTGTGGGTCTCCATTCCTGACCCGACACCAGTTTATTTGGATGTTCACCCTGTTGTTTTACATCGAAACTTTTTCTGTATTTCAGTCATTTAGTGAGGTTATTTCATCGATAGTTTTGAATCTTAATATTGTTTTTTTAATTAAGCACCAATAAAGAGGGGGAGAATAAAATGCAAGTTATTTAACTGAGGGGACAAACGAGACAAGTTACTCCAGTGTTTCCCAATGTTGGGGTCGGGACCCAAAGTGGGGTCCTGAAACATCAAGGTGGGGTCCTG